CCTTCCTATAATTGGCGAGCGGGAGCGAGCTAACCTAGTGGTACAAACGGCGCGATTTTTCTATATATTGATATACGACCGTCCGTACGTCGTCCACGCGCTTATTTTTATCCGAAAAACATTTCAAATCTTTACACCGTATATTTCTCTCGTGTGTATACTCGAGGAAGCCAACCACGATGGATCGGTCTAGAGGAGATGCCCTTCGCCGTCGACGGGAAAGGGAAAGAGAACGTCGTGCCTGTGAAACTTCTGAGCAAAGAGAGGCTCGTCTTTCTCGACGGCGACTGCGTGATAGGGAACGGGCAAGGCAACGCCTGGCCACGGAAACAGCGGAAGAAAGGGAAACACGACTAGCGAGAAGTCGTGTACGAGCAAGAGCTACACGTGCTGCGGAATCAGAGGAAACGCAACAGGCAAGGCTCCAACAGATCCGAAGCTATCAGATAAGGCGAATTGCCGCCGAGTCTGCTGGGGAGAGAGAGGGGGTCGACTACAGTTACTACACAGGCTTTTTTGCGCATACACACAATCGTTAGATCGCTCCCGCTCACCAAAAATGCAGTGCATTCACCTACTAGTATATATGGAACTTCACACAGAAAAAACAAAGTGGTAACCATTAGCTACTCTTCTTATAATTGGCTCCCCTGACACCTGTTTTCCCTGCAACCTCTCTCCGCTGGTTTCTAAAGCCTGTCAACAGTGGGCACTGGCGGCATCTCCAACCATATCCAGCAATCTGGGGGAGGGTGGGAGAACAATACTCAGACTTGTGGGGTGAGGCTCAGTGTTTTCCCTAGCCTTTATCACCACTTAGACTTTTGCATGCATTCCAGAACTTTTACCATAAATTGCTGGAGTGTTTTCCCAGGCCCTTATCACCACCACAACTTTGTAGTATTGCAAGTGTAATCCTATTGCATTCCTCACCATTTGTCCTTAGTTCTAATATACCTTTGTCTTCTTGTGTGCTGGACTTTTTTTAGAGACCTGGCTTCTACTAACCACCCACTTTCTACTGTGTAGGTTTTTGGCCTTCACCTTTGACTTAAGCTGAGTGACTTCCTCAAAAGAGTAAACTCTCCCTCACAACAAGATCACTCTCCCCTTGCAGAGTCTGGGCACAGTTCAAGTATGTAGTATGTACTATGTTCTAGCCCACTGAAGTCAGCTAATTAAGTTATGACCGCCTGTCTTTTTACTCCCAGGCAGAGGCTGTTTTTCCAAATCTTGTGTGGATCTCCTTCCTATAACACCTAACTTATTATCTGAAACAAGGTTGAGCAACAAGACTAGAGGTCAGTTCATCTGGACTCAATCTGGGCTAAATCTAAGCACTAGATACCTAGATGGGATGAGAGGTAATTAGAGAGGGAGAAAAAACAATGCTCATGTCCACACCTTACTACTCTCCCTGTTGTGTCCTCAATGGTCTGCACACTGTTCCCATTCCCCCAGAACTGGTTGCATTAGACCTACTTAGTAGACAGCTTGTCCAGAGGGCCAAGTGCTATCAGACTATTGTGAGACTAGGTACCTACACTGGTAAAGTACCCATATACAATTCCCTGCAGGCCTGCAAAGGCACAATGTTTTTCCTCCCATTGCCACTAAACAAGACCATTGAAACCTTAAACCAGGTCCAACTACAGCATACCTCTGTCCTACCAGATCCTGAGTTGTACATTATTGTCAACGGGTAGGCCAACCAGAGTAATGTTGTGTGGGTAGTTTGGTGAATGTGGACCATGTCAAGACTGCAATAAGAAAATTGAGGTCTTGTAATTGGCTGTACAGCTATGTCCATGAGAAATGCATTGATGAGAGCACTAAGCACATAATTGAGGTCTCCAACAATACAACCACAGAAATGTTGGAAAAGGTTTCCCCAGATGAGGTAGATGCATTTCAGGCCTACACTATTAGAAACCTGGATAGCAAGCTCTCCATTGGTTCAGACACAGAGCAGTACAGACTTATGAGCATCACAGAGGACTCTATTACCAACAAGCAACAGCATTTAGATGTGATGTGTTTCCCTGTGCTGTTCCCTACTGGGAAGTTTGGAGAGTTCCACCCTAGGAGAGAGAAGATTTCTCCCAGTGAGTACATCAAATCTAGGCTGCTTAACAAAGACTCGCGTTTCCGTAAAGATGCACAATATGTGTTTTACCTTTTGTGGCAGAAGGAAATGCGACAGCTTGCATCGGGTGTTTACAATTTGTTGAAGAGTACCAGGAGACAGTCCATGTCTGTTAACATGTTACTAGAGCAGGTGAACACCGCAGACGAGCAGCTAGAAGCACGTTTGTGCACAATGCTCCAGTCAGTCCGTGGTACTAAACAGTTCTGGTTCCTCAGACACAGTGAGCTCAAGTGCATGATACGTGAGTGGGGCTCACCTACCCTTTTCCTCACCTTTAGCTGTGCTGAGTATGAGTCCCCTGATATCACTGAGTTTCTTAGGAAGGTGAACAATGTCCCTCCCAGTTGCAACATTGGGAAGTTATGTGTTGAGGACCCAATATCAGTTTCCAGCAAATTTTCCCTCAAGTTCCATGCATTTTTCGGAAAGGTCATTTTGAAAGGTCAGGTGCTGGGTATTGTAGACCACTTTTATTGGAAGAAGGAATATCAAAGTCGTGGGGCTCCTCATTACCATGTCTTACTCTGGATTAGAGATGCACTGATGCTGTGGAAGGCTAATATAGACATTCAGTTTGTAGCCGAAGCCTCTCTAGCTCTTGCTCACTATGTCAGTGGCTATGTTACCAAGGCTGAGCCTACTAGTATATATGGAACTTCACACAGAAAAAACAAAGTGGTAACCATTAGCTACTCTTCTTATAATTGGCTCCCCTGACACCTGTTTTCCCTGCAACCTCTCTCTCTCGCTGGTCTCTAAAGCCTGTCAACAGTGGACACTGGCGTCATCTCCAACCATATCCAGCAATCTGGGGGAGGGTGGGAGAACAATACTCAATACTCTTGTGGGGTGAGGCTCAGTGTTTTCCCTAGCCTTTATCATCACTTAGACTTTTGCATGCATTCCAGAGCTTTTACCATAAATTGCTCTGAGTGTTTTCCCAGGCCCTTATCACCACCACAACTTTGTAGTATTGCAAGTGTAATCCTATTGCATTCCTCACCATTTGTCCAGTTCTAATATTATACCTTTGTCTTCTTGTGTGCTTGACTTTTTTTAGAGACCTGGCTTCTACTAACCACCCACTTTCTACTGTGTAGGTTTTTGGCCTTCACCTTTGACTTAAGCTGAGTGACTTCCTCAAAAGAGTAAACTCCCCCTCACAACAAGATCACTCTCCCCTTGCAGAGTCTGGGCTACAGTTCAAGTATGTAGTATGTACTATGTTCTAGCCCACAGGGAAGTCAGCTAATTAAGTTATGACCTCCTGTCTTTTTACTCCCAGGCAGAGGCTGTTTTTCCAAATGTTGTGTGGGTCTCCTTCCTATGACACCTAACTTATTATCTGAAACAAGGTTGAGCAACAAGACTAGAGGTCAGTTCATCTGGACTCAATGTGGGCTAAATCTAAGCACTAGATACCTAGATGGGATGAGAGGTAATTAGAGAGGGAGAAAAAACAATGCTCATGTCCACACCTTACTACTCTCCCTGTGTATGCAGCAATTCCCTACCCTTGCCCCTCAACCCCTACCCACCTAGGAAGCCCTTGGGAATTCATTGTTCCTACTTGGAAATTAAATTTCCCCTTATTCCTAGTTCCTAGAATTGGATTAGTTGCCTCAGCTAATGCGCTCTGGCAATTATTAGATTAGCATTCCCAGTCTGAGGCCCCAGGTGTGCTGCCCCCCCCCTGTTTGTATAGATAACTCATTTCTCCTGGGGTTTTCCCATCCTGACCCCTACATTTAGAGAAGGACCTCTCCGCTTCTCTTTGCCTTATAAGGCAGTGCTGGCCTCAACTGTATTTTGCAGTATTGCAGATTTATGTATAGTCCCCTTCTCCATGTGCTTTTGGTCTCACTACTTCACTGTTTTCGCTACTTGCTATTATACAGGGGCTTTACTGTATACTCGAGGTACACCACCCTCAAACCACACACATAACACCTACTATTGTCTCCCCACTGCAGCTTTCAGTCAATACTAACTCAAAGTGACTCTCCCCATGCTGTCTCAGAGAAATCAACAACTCTATACTAATAGACACTGCTGAGCACTTCTATCATTATCAGTAATATTGAACCAAGATCATTTATTTGATTTTCCCATAATATCTTCTCTCGCAGGCGCGTTTGCCTGGGGCGGGGTGTGTCTCGGACGTCGCGCGCCCCCACGGGGAGAAAAATGACGCAATGAAGGTACATGCATAGCGCATGCGCATGCATGAATTCCGCCGCGCCTGTTTACCTCCACACGCGCGCATGCTCTTTACGTTAAATTACGCTCAAATCCTGTAGGACATGACTCATAGCTAAGAGCAGAATCACACTCCTGCCTGCTGTGTCAGTCAATATCTCAGTTACGGACAGTTAGCTTCGGAACCCAGGCGCTAGGCCTTCCCGGATCGCCCACGCACAATTATCCGCGCATGCTAATACCGTACGTACGTATATGTGATTACGCGCAGCGCACACGCACACAGAGGTGAACACTAGTAGGCGAATGCATGGCATTTTTGGCGAGCGGAAGCGCGCTTACAATTAGGGTCTAATCGTATGAGTCACTCTTGTGTGTGCACAAAACAGTGAGATACATTGCACAGGACCAAGTATATAGGCCGAAACGACCCGAGCGCAGTAGACAATTCGAGTCGAGTCAAAAACAGTCAGACGACAGCGCGAATCAGGCATAATCCTGCAATCTGATTGGTCTTGCAGGAATAGGGAACAAGTGGCAATGTAGAAAAAATCTCTCGCTGGACTGTGCAGCAATACTCGATAGCTTCGGAGGTGTTGCGTTTCCCATGATTCCGCTCGATTCAGGCAGCATTATGAAAATGTTGAAATCCCTTTCGGATAAAAAAAGCGCGTAATGCTGGAGCATGCGCAGTTGGACGACGTACGGTGACATTTATATATATATAATTATATTATATATATATATAGAAAAATCGCGCGGTTCGGACCACTAGGTTAGCTCGCTTCCGCTCGCCAATTACACGCATGCGCATAATTATGCACCAGGAACGCGCATGCGGTTATTAAGACAGCGCAAATTGCTTGAAGAAAAGCACCATTTCAAGAAGATTAACAACAAAAGCAGAATGTCTGACTTCTCAGACCTTGAGTCAGATTTGGAGATGCAGGTTGAGCAGCACCTCTCCCAGGTTGATCGGCAAATCGAAATGGAGAACAGAGAGACGCGTTGGCAGCTGAGAGGGAGAGCTATTCTATCCACTCCTCTACCACTAGCAGGAGAGCAAACTGCAACTCCACAATCTGCAACTCCACAACCGACGCCAGGAGGATCCCCACAATTGCTCTCAGTTGGTCCATCTTCCCCTCGGCCCTCGAGATTCGCTCCTGGTGGTAGATCTTCCCCTGGGCCCTCGAGATTCGCTGCTGGTGGTAGCGGCGTTGGCAGGCCTTCAACTCAATGCCTTGCACGACGACCTACAGCTGCAGCAGCCGAAACTCCCGCTTCTGCCGATTCTGCACCACCACGCCGGGGGAAGGGGGGTCGAGGAAGAAGGGGTGCAAGAGGGCGACTGACTGCACAGCGCCCATCACGACGTATTTCCCCAATTTTGCCACATCCTTCACGTAGCTCACCTCCTGGTACTCAGCCAGCGACTGCAGAGAACCTACCAACAGACCAGCCAACCCTCAATGTAAGTTTTCTATATCAGCTTCTTTATTTGTAGCAGAGACTTTTATGTAGGGAAAAATCTTTATTATTGCATATTCAGCCTTTCAAAATGCTACTGGAAAATCAGCCTCTCACAAATCCTGCACCTAACACCAAGTTTGTTGGTATAGGACAGCTGTCCCCTTTACAAATATATACAGCAGGAAAAATCTTATTTCCTCTTCTGATAAATTGCCTCCATTTAGTAACGGGATTACTCCACTGCATTTTACAGGTAACACAGCTAAATCCTTTACTTTTTGGAATGCCATGACAGGGACGCAGCAAACGGCGGAATTAGCACATTAGGGAGGGATCTGGATGAGGGCCGGGCCTACAGCGCGTCGCGTGCGTGACGGCAATAAATACGCAGCCTGATCCTCGCGCGCGCGAGCGCGAGCATTCCGAACGTGCACGGTAACCCCATATCCGTGCACGGTATCATACCACATACCGTGGTTTCCAAATTAACTTATTCTTCCTCAATTAATTCCCATGCAGCTCACCCGATGCACGGTCAACATCTACGGGCTGAACACGGCCCCCAAGACCGACTGGAGCTGATGAACATACAGTGCTCATATCTATATCCCGTGGAGCATCCATTACCCAAGTGTATTCTCATCATTAGCCAAAGTCTCAGTCAACCAATCTGAGAAGTTTTGGAACACGTATACGTCTCATTTCCCTCCTTTTGGTCATTTAATTCTTTCTGTGAAAAAGATATTTTTTACGTATATACCGTGATACCGATCAAAAACATTTGATTTATATACCTCCAGTGAAAAGATTTTTTGGACTCAAAAGTTACACTGCGGGACAGCCTGCAACAGTATCACAGACTGTACGTCGAAGCAGAAGCCGAACAATCTTTTGTATGAAACGACGAACTGCTCCATTCAGCCAGCACGATCGGCTGCACTACGTAATTAATACTACACTCTGGCTATAATTATATCTCCACACACGTGAAACTGGCGGGCGAGCGGGACGCGGGGGGCGGTGGCCCGACGGCGGCCGGCCGCGCGCGCCTCCAAAGCACGCGCGTATTTTAAATAGACGTTCGAGAGAGCGACGTTCGAGAGCGCGCGAAGGCCTACATTACTCGCGTGTCGCTTACGCGGGCGTTTGTGGAATGGTTAGCCGCCCGAGGCCTTCCCCGCCGTTCAACATGGGCGAGATCCGCCAATCGCATGTACTGTAGCTATTAGTCTCGGCCCCAGCCTCTTTCCTCTGACTAATTGTGCGGGGGGGGGGACCAGCTGCGCACGGGCAGCAGCTGGAATGCAGGCGCGGGTGTTAGAATGCAATTAACGCCCGCAAAGCGATTAGCGTGGCCGGCCGCGCACTTCGATCGCCGTGGACTAGTCTCGCGCTCCACCCATTGATGATATTCATGATCCATGCAATGCTCACACCCACTTAGAGCAAACCACTAATGTCAACATTTGAAATTCCTCTGCCCAAGGGTCTGGGGCGTAGCTATAGCTAATAGCTAGCTCAGTGCCAGCTTAGGTTCTGCGGCCGTCATTGTCGCTCCATGACGTCATTAGTCTCGTCGCCATTACTCGCCCTCTCTATAGAGGAAAGGAGGGAAAGGACACCGACAGGGTCTGGGTATATACAAGCCTAGAGTTAGCTGCGTGCAGTAGCCCCTACCCCTCGCTCTGCAGGGGGCGTGGCTGAGCATGCGCTAAAAAAATAGTGGAACAAGTGGAAAAATCATTTCTTCAAAATGAAGGGGGATGTAGGGATGGTGTAAATTATAAAAAAGGATACCAACAAGAGCATCCTTCAGCCGAAAAAAAAATCATACATCCATCCCTACATCTTTCCTTACTCACACAACCTCCACAGTAATTATGTTCTGAACTTTATAAGTAACCACACATTTTTATACATAGCAAACGAAAGAAAGATGTAGGGATGGATGTATGATTTTTGTTTTCGGCTGAAGGATGCTCTTGTTGGTATCCTTTTTTATAATTCACACCATCCCTACATCCCCTTCATTTTGAAGAAATGATTTTTCCACTTGTTGAGCTCGCCACATCCTCCTGCATAGTCATTCGCATGATTTCCACACAAGGCTCATAGTCCAAGACACGCGACTCAATGGAAGGATCCTTAAGAGAGTCCTTATCCCTGGATACATCATGAACTGGGGCAGAATTAGCCACATGTGGAGTTGCTTGACGAGATTTCGTGGAGAGCAGTATGCAACTTTCACCGTTTCTGATTGGTTCAACTACTGTTCTCGTGGTATCAGCCACATAGCCAAAGTGTTGGCAGGCATGTGTTACTGGTGGCAGGCATGTGTTGTCATTGATCGGATAAGGGACGTCGCCACTGGCATTCAGAGTTCCATTCATGCTTGCATCGGTTGCTGTGACAGGTGTGATGTCATCATCCGAACAGAAAGACGAGTTTTCCCCAGTCATCTCAGAGTTGATATAAGAATCAGGGGGATGAGTATTGATCTCAGAGTAGAGATCCTGGAGACTACATTTCTGGAGATGATCTTCACTGAAGAGAGGATGAAGTGCTTGCATTGTCTCTGAGGGGTGACCAGTGTTATTGTTTACTAAACTACACTGCCCCGCGTCACCGACGTAGTCAGAGGGAGCTGCACAGCTCCTCTTGTCGGCAAAATCAGGTCTCTGGTGATCAATGTCGCAACACACCTGGCTTGAGAGTGGGATGCCTTTTTCGTCTGAGATAATATATACTCTGAAGCATATCCACCGGACTCAGAGCTGGTGGCCGTTCCAGACTCAGTGACATAGCTGGTTGGTGTGACAAAGCTAGGGTTTCCTTCTTCACATATATACCCACAAGCTTCGGTACTGCCTGTTGTGTTTGTAACTGCTGTGCTTGTTTGGGTGAATTGGTCAAATCCGAAATCACCAATATTGGGGAATTCTAACTTCTGATTGGCCTTTGCACTTAATCCAAAGTGAAAAGACTGAAATTGTAAATCCGTGATCTATATATGATAAGCCATCATGTGCCGCGGACACGTGGCCCGTCGTGTAGAGAAACGAGACCGAAGAGCCCTCCAACTTTCCAAGACCTGCTTCGTCACATTGATAGAGGTTGTGTTGAGAAGCGGGGAGAGGTTGGAGGTTGGCTCCTCACTTGTTACAACGGAGGTGCTTCAAAGGACATTCAGATAATTGGAATGAGCTGAGGACACATGCGGCTTGAGTCTCGGCGGAAAGCTGGAGCCCTCTCTCCAGTCTCAACTTTCTCCACTCAGTGGGCTACGTATCGGCGCATGCGCGGAAAGACTCTGCTCACACATGTATATTATAGCTTGGGATTGGATTTAGCAAAAACAGATCATGGATTTACACTTTTGCATTTCAAATTCAGTCTTTGGTTTTAGGATTTAGTGCTTACCTAAATTACTAGGATTTAGAATTCCACAATATTATTATTGTGATTGAAATTTCAGATTACGGATTATACAGTCATAAATCATAATGGGGGTGTTAGGATAAAGTACTTAGCAAAAGCGTTCAATGCTCAAAGTAGGGAATTCAAATGGCCGGAATTTACACTGACCATCCTAGATCACGGATTTACAATTTCATTCTTTGACTTAGGATTTAGTGCTTATTGAAGGCCAGTCCTAATATTAGGACATAGAATTCCGCAATTATTGGTGATACAGATAGAAATTTCAGATATATAGGATTTAGGATTTTACAGTCATAAATAAGATTTTACGATTTAGTACTTGGCAAAAGGCAAGAGTGGGGAATTCAAACGGCAGGAATATACACTGACCTGGTCAGCAGGCTCCACACAGTGTTTACTTACTTTCACCACAAAAGATACCAGCTCTGGTTTCAACTGCCGGATAACCCAAATCAAGATAGTGGTCTTGTCGCAACCGATGGTCTTCTTACCAGTGTGGGTGGTTATAGCTGTGGTCCTACTAATACAGTCCACATTACGTAGCCAAACAGCATATGGCCATGTGAGCAGTGTCATTATTGTGACTGGGGGAGATCAAGATACAATTGGTGGTTATCTGAATATTGTAGAGGCTTTGGACACTGAAGCAAACCAGTGGACCACCCTCTCTCCTCTCCCCAGAAGATGCTCGGCATTATCACCTGCATTCAATGGAGGCGGAATTTACCGAGCCGTATTTACTTGCTTCTTATCCGACATAGAGAAGAAAATAAAGAAGAACAGCGTATAGCGAACATTAACTCGTAGTCACTGGAAGGAGTTGATGAAATTGTCAGTTTCGTTTTCTACCCTTGCTACGTTTGGGGGCGACTTGCTTGCTAATGGTGGAATGATGCGTCAGAGAAACTCACAGAAAGTGTTTACAAGTATGATTTCCTATTAGTACTTGGGGAAAGTGTTTGGGCAGATTGTATATCCTCGACGCTTTCTTTTGTAGTCCCTCTTTCTTCTACAGATAGCATTGTGGTTATAGGATAGACACTATGCAATTACAGACAACAATATTGAGCTTTTCGAGGGTCTGAATCACCCCGATAGTGTAGAATATGACCAATGATGAGTCTGTTAGCCGTTATTATCATTTTATTATCAAAACAAACCATGCCACCAAGTCTAAATTGAGTTTTTTTCTTATCTGATGACGACTCTCTCCTCTTTTTATGGAGATAAAGTAAAGATGCTGTGAATGTTGATCATGTTTTCTGTGGAACTAAGCATTATCTAAGGCTGTTCAGCACAAAATGAGAGCTGTCTGTTGTGCTGCTTTTGTAGCCAACGGGCTGCTCTCATTGATAGGTGTTGCATTATTTACATGACAAAATGTGATGAGTAGGATTATCCTGTGCGCTTGTTCACCATCTGTGGAAAACCACATTAGCGACTTCGGGCGCCGTGACAAAGCCTGTTAAATCAGAGGTTATTATTCAGGAGCATTATGACTCCTACGTAATTTGGCTGAATATCACAATAAATTATCATCCATAAAAATACTAGTCCGTATAGATCCCCCTGTGTATATATGGCTTTGTGTGCTTCACTGGATATGCGGTATATAGCTACGCATTTAGCTAGAACAAGTGAATGCAGGCAAAGAGCAAAAAATCAGTCGAATTGTTTGCTTGCCAATTAACTTCTTCATCGAATCATTTTGTATTGTGACACGCATACAAAAAATGTTCTTAATATGGTCATTGTTGCGGTAGATGACTCCATTCTTTATTCCAATTGGATAGTTGAACTGCCTTGGTCCATTTCCTTGTGCGCCAAAAGATGCCAGAAAGTGTCCCTCTTTAGTGTGGATAATGATTTTGTTACACAAGAGTCACTTACATAGACTATGTTGTTTGAGTCTAGGGAAATTCAATTCATATTGATTCCCATCTTTTCAAACTTTGAAATGTATACTCTGCATTTGCTGTGTGCAATTGAACTTTGTAGTTCCAAGAAATAGCAATGTGTAGATGCATTCCCAGTGCCGTTAAACCTAACTCAGTGGGGAGGGGCCTAGGCTCCAAACCACGCATGTCTGGGCATGGTCAGCACATACCAGTGGAAAAGCCTTGTGGTGATGAATCTCATTAGTTCAAAACCGCGAGTGCAGCACTCAGCGATTTTGGATGATATTATAATTAATGTTAACTAAGTTGCAGGGCATAAAAGAGATGTCAGAAGAAGCATCACAATCATCATCACACAAAGTTTGGAGTCATCTTATGCAGCAACTGTAACAACCCTCATATCCCACGGAAAAGTCGATGAAACTCATTATTTTCCTAGCAACAGCAGTTGAAATAGCTATTTGGTGTACAACCAGTAAAATAATATTATTCATTAGATCAATTATGCATACATAGGCAATATGTATATAAGGTAGTAAAGATATTACAGCACAAACAAAACATTCGAGTAGAGCAATTTTTAAAGGGTGGAAAAGTTGACATGCTCAAAACATTGGAGTAGCCCTTGCGCACATGAAAGGAAGTAGCTAGCTAGCGATACAACACCACATAGATTGTTAGGTTATACATTAGCTACATATATTCCAAACACTTGTCAAGACTTTCACTCTTTTTGTTAAGCATTTCTCTGCATGATGATGTAACAGCGTAGTATTCAGTGAACTTTTCTTGTTGACGGTCTAGGACTTGGCAAATACGCTTTTTAGAGTGATTTTGAGACCGGTGAAATTCAAGGGCACTTACACTCTCATTCAATTTCTTCACATAATCTTTTATCGTGTCAACTTCCTTCTTTATGTCGACAGTAGCAAGCCAGAATGAATCAAACAACTTAGCAAGATCAGCAAACGATTTCTGTGCTCTGCCAAATGAATATGCAAGGCCACCTGTTGTCACAGCTGCTCCCGCTCCTACTATACCTATGCCTGCCGCTGCTCCAAGACCTAAGACAATCGGAACACCAATCCCTCCCGTAAGAACCCCAACCACTGTAGCTGTCACACCAATAGCAACTCCGCCTGCCAGTCCTCCACCCGATAGAGTGCCACCAATGATTCTAGTTCTCATTTTCTTACTTTTGGCCTCTTGGCGTCTTTGTTTACAATTCTTTGCAGCAGCTAGGCAGCTCTGGTTAGCTTTTTTGAAACATTCCTCAAAGACCGCATATTGCTGGTCAGCTTCATTGATGTGGTACGTAAGGAAAGCCAAAAGCTCAAAGAGTGGCTCTACATCCTCACGGTCACAAAGTGCTTCTCTTGCCTCTTCTGTATCTTTTCCGTACCAAAATATATCGTCAACTTTGTCAACAAAATCGAAAGCGTGACGCGCGACAAGACGAACGTCTTCAAAAACGACTCTGGCTTTGGAACCATACTTGATTTCAGCGTTCTTTAATGAGTTCACTTTCCTTATACCCTCATCCAAAAGTGTAGTAACCTTTTCACCCAATTTATGAGTTGAATCGACAAGGCCCGAGAAACAATCGACGAAATGAGTAGCTGAGCAGACCACGTCTGTGCAGCCGTTAATACCTCCTTTTACTGGAGCCAAAGGTGCCGCACCCCCCAAGGTTAACCCTTCCTTCAAGAGGGACGTCACTCCGTTTACGAGATCTTTCTTTGAGTCTATAGAAAACATGGTTTCGCTTGCACACAAAACAATGCAGTCCGTGACGGTCCGTGGCACGCATGCGCACGCTGACGCGGGGCGGGCCAGGACCAGAAATCCGCGCTCTTTCCCGCATGCAACTTTGAGCGTCAATTGAGTCCTGTCCTCTAGTCAAACGTCCAGTCAAGCGATTGTAGACGGCCGTTTTTGGTCCACTTGTGGACCATTACAATGATGACAACGTAATAAAAATTCTACTAGGTAAGGTTTTATCATAAAAAACTTAGAGTGCTTTAATTATCAATTTTCATTGATGTGGTTAATGAGCTTCTTGGGTCTGCAAGCCATAACTCTCTCACACTTCACTCGCTTCTTTGCTCATGTACCTGCTTATATACTAGAGGATGTATGTCACGTCAGATAACAAGATTATGACCGAAAATGTATCCCTGCATCTTGTGTGTCAGAGCAGGAATGTTCAATAACCTTCTAAATTTAAGGGGTATTATTTTGGTTGACACCATCTCTATCTACGTAGGATTTTTATTGCTTCCCTGACTTCATGACGTGACAGCCCTATTATAGCTATGTCTCCACAATTGTTTCGCTATACCGTCTGGTTTTGGGAAAGCCCTTTTATTTCGCCAATGTCAAGCATATTCTCGATGGAGAGATTGTGTATATTATTACCTATGCCCAGTTGGATTATGAATTCCAACAATTGATAACCATATAATTATTATGTCTATATCCACACTGGTTTTACACAGTGAGGTGTATAATCTGTGGCTGACTGGAGTGCAGATGATGATTGAGGGAAGTGTTCTCACATACATTGGTATAGAGATGGCTAGAAGTAAGTCAGATTGTACTGCTTCAGGCTCTAATAATGATTTCAAATTGGGCTATCTTCATGGTGCTGATTTTGTTACTGGTTAACGAGAAAGTATACTCTTGCTAAGAATCACACTGCTGCATTCCCTTACTTTCTTCAATTGTACTGCATGCAAATTTCACATTCACCAAAAGTAATTTAACTTTTAGCAAGTAGCCACAAAAAATTGAACAAGCAGTAAGATGAAACTAATAGTTTCTTGGGCTATCCCTTTGTACATAACACAATGAATCTGAGCAGTTTTATATACCCACATTTGAATACTTTTGTCTCTACCTTTCTCTCTTATCTAGCATACCAGGACAAATTGTCTACTGGCTGTTTGTCTTCTGTGTGACTGTGGCATTTGCTGCCATCCTTATTGAGTTTGAGACCAGCTTCAATACCCTCTCTAACAGAGCAAAGATGAACATTGTACTTAGAAGTTGGAGATCATGCGTAAGATGGAACGCTTCCGTGGTGTGTTTGGATGTTGTTCCTTTAGGTGGAAGGAGGAGTGAGAGGGGGGGGGGAAGGGGGGAGGAGATTAGGGTGGCGGATAGGGGTTGTGGTGGGGTATCAGTGGGTTATTGTTATCATTTTCCCTTTTTGAGACTTTTTTTTGTTTTTTGCTTTTTCTTCTTGTTTCTCTTCTCTTTTTGCTTTTTTGTTCTTTTTTTTTTTTCTTTTTTTTTTTTTTTTTTTCCTTTTTTTTGTTTTTTTCTTTTTTTTTCTCTTTTCTTTTTTTTGTTTTTGTTTTTTTGCTTTTTTTGTTCTTTTTTTTGTTGTTTGTTTTGGTTGTTTTCCTTTTTCTTTTTTTTTCTTTTTGTTTTTTTTCTTTTTTTCCTTTTTTGTCGTTTTTCTTTTTTTCTTTCTTTTTTCTTTCTTTTTTTTTGTCTTTTTTTTTTTTTCTTTCTTTTTTTCTCTCTTCTTTTGTTTTTCTCTTGTTATGTCTTTCTTCTTTCCTTGTTTTTTTTTTTTCTTCTTTTGACTTTTTCTTTCTTTTTTTCCTTTTCTTTTTTTTTTTTTTCTTTTTTCTTGTCTTCTTCTCTCTTTTTTTCTTTTGTTCCTGTGTTTCCTTCTTCTCCTTTTTTTCTTTTCTCTTTTTCGTTTTTCTTCGTTTTTTTTTTTTTTTTTCTTCTGGCTTCCTTTTTCTTTTTTTTTTTTTTCTTTTTCCGTTGTTTCTTGTTTTCTTTGTTTCTTTTTTTTTCTCTTCTGTCTCTTTTTTTTCTCGCTTTTCCTCTTCGTCTTTTTCTTCTTTTCTTTTTTTTTTTCCTGTCTTTTGTCTTTCTGTTCCTTTCTTTTTTTTCCTTCTTTCTCTTTTGTTTCTCTGTCTTTTTCTTTCTCCTTTTTTTTCTTTTCTCCTTCTTTTTTTCCTCTTCTTTCCTTTTTCTTTTTTTTTTTCTATCTTTGTTTTTGTCTCTTTCCTTTTTCTTGTTTTCTTTCTTTTTTTCTTTCTTCTTTTTTCTCTTCTTTTTCTTTCTCTTCTTCTCTTGGTTCTTCTTTTTTTTTTTTTTGGTTTTTTTCCTTTGTTTTCTTTTTTTTTTATCTTTTCTTTTTCTTTTTTTGTTTTTTTTCTTTCTTTTTTTTTTCTTTTTACCCCCTTCTTTTTCTTGAACGGCATTGAGGATGGGTAACCCTATACCTTTTGTTCTTTACTTTAAGTATAAATTAACTCTGCAAGTGACGTTTACTCATGGGAATGAGACAGATTCCGAAGAATCTGGCGTTAGTGAAAATCTAATTTAGGTTCACACATTTTCTGTCACAGGACTCTCAAAAGAGTAGCTATTAGAAGAACAGCATGGGATGATCTGGGTATGTCTATTTACTGTAGTTCTAATATATAGCTCTATGAATAGAATGGTGCAAGTCAAACCTTACGTGCAAACACATACATAGCAGAATGCTGAGCTAAACCTTCAAAACCTATACCAGAAAGAACACACAGCCATACCACTACATATAACTTGTTGAGATATACCTATAGCTCCAACTATATCCAGTTTTTGCTACTAGTTTGTGAGTCAAAATTGTGTGCATCATGGATATTAATGGTTGTCTTTGGTTGTGTAATTACCCCGGTCTGCTCCTACATATTGGGTGAGAGTATACTGTGCCATTGGGTGAGAGTACAGTGGTTTGGGGTTTGCGTTTGTCTTGAGTTGTGTTGTAGATTTTGGGACAAGCTGTGTTACCCTGGTAGTGAAGTTGGTAGAGGACTTGTCTAGAGACTGCAAAATGTCATGGGTTCGAATCACACCTATTTTTACCTCGCGTTTTTCACATGGATAATATTAGCATTTTTTCTCCTTCTATAACAGCTTCTTGTGGAGAAAAGCTACTCTGTAAAACAAAGAATAACCTGTGATTTATGTTACGCCCAGCCACTTTAGTCTGAATAGCAATCCTAGACGACATAGTTTGCCTACAAGTCAACCATGTAGGAGAAACCTTCAAGACCCTAAAAAAGATGTCAGATTATTGGTAGAGTTTAGTTCTATAACATACATAAGTGCCTCTTGCAAGGTTATTAGCCTATTAGCCTCAGTGCAGTAGGTATCTTTCCCTTTCCCCTTTCCCACAATGTGACATCCATACATCCTCCTTCACTTCCATTTTCCCACTACTTGTTTAACAGTTTCGCATTCATGTCTTTACAAGGCGAACAGCTATGCATCCAATATGATTTTTTTGTACCCTTCAAATTACATTTCAGAAAACCTGGAAGTGAAAGACTGTGTTGTTTCTAAACTCAGTATAAAGCTGGCTGAAAATTATGAACGAGGTAACAGCTAAATATCAGACCGTCGGTAGACGCTCTATGTAGGGATGACACGAGTGAAATCTCACGTGATCCGGGTACAAAACGCCTCGAAACTCGGCGAGGATGGCTAGCTATGCCTTCAAAACACACCAAAAATCACTCACGGGTCCATATCTACGTATACATATGCCCAAAAGTTCCATACGTCCCTGCAATTCTCGACACGAGAAATCGCTCATACGCGATTTCACAATTTTCGTGTCATCATATTATTATTATTCATCTTCTTCTTCTTCTTTAGACCCGATTTCTCCTTACCGGAACAAGTTCAAGCGCTGATTTTCCCATTAAACGTACCCCGCTATGGTGGAGGTGTGCATCGTCGTCAAGCGATGTTCGTTTTCTTGCTGCCAATCGGTACGGAAGATCTAGCGTACAATATTGCTCACAGAAAACGACGCCATTTTCACGGTCGATTCAGACCCCGCCCACTCCCGGCGCCTTGCGCGCGACGCGGGATAAAAGACCGCGTGGTTGCCGCTCCGCTCGCTCTCGTCCGTTGAGCTCCGTCTGGCCGAGTTTTGTCTCCACGTTTCGCCCGTTTCTGCCGAGTCTGGTTACGATCAGTTTTTTCTCTGTCCTTGTTCCACATGTCGACACTTGGTGTCAGTCTCTTTCGCTCTACCGCGCTGATTTCACAAGTATGGTATTACGCGTAAGGTAAATGTTGGTATTATGAGCCACCTAAACTTTCTTCTTAGACATGGCGATTCTAAAAATCAAATCGGTTTCAGAATATATTCACAGTAGGTAATGCAAAATATTTCTTTTATAACCCTCTAAAAGCAGCAATTATGAGTCAGTGATGGTATTATGAGTGGACTTAAAACGTATTCTTTGATGAAGCAAACAGTTGCCCAGTCGTGTTTCACAATAATTACTTAGATATACAAAAAAGCAAAAAACCACAAATAAATCATAATTTGACCAAAACATTTATTTAAAACCTCCCCCAAATGAAACCCTTTGAGTCAGTGATGCAATCATTGCGACCTCTTGACTTTTGGCTATTTTGTCGCAAAAGTAACCCGCAGCACGTGTTAAAATGTGGCGACGATTTTCTGGGCTAACGTCCTGACGGTAGGAAGCAGTTACACAGTGTTTGGCAGCTTTTTGGAATATTTACCCATAATACCCCCTGACTCATAATACCAACACTTACCTTATAACGTAACTTTCTACCTCTGAGGTTCATGCGTTACATCGGCACCCCGTCCGGTGTTTTTGTACTGGCCCCTGCTACTACTACCTTCGACTGGAGTTGGGGCCACAGCTACTCATTCGTTTTCAATGTAAGCTCTGCAAACTGTCTCCGTAATGGTTGTATTC